GAACAACAAAATAACCATATTCTTTAAAAGAAAAAAGCTGTTATCAAGTTGTTTACCATCTTTTGGCTCAAAGATACACCTCGACAGCAAAAGCCTTCTTTTCAGTTCAAACTGCTCAAAGTCGGTTTGTGATGTGCTGCTGCTGCTGTTGTTGTTGTTACAATAACACCTTTAGCAGAGAGAACATGTGGTTAGGAGTTATTACCGGGTAATTCCCTCAGTAATTCCCGTTTTTACAGAAAATCCCCTTTAAGATGAAGATCACAGCTTAAAGTGTTCGTGACAATCACCTTAGTCATGTCATACAAAAAGTGGTGCTACGACCAGAGTGACGTTGATGTGATGAAGATGGATAATGTGTGATAACTGTTATTCAGTGCCTAACAAATCCTGTCCCGCATACCAGAGATGACTGCTGACGCTTAGGGAGATGGCGATAAAAGTACAGAGGTGGCAGAGAGAAAATTGAAAGAATGAGAAAGGAGGAAAAGTTTATAGAGGAAAGGGGAAAAAAAAGGCCATGGGAAATAAAGAAGGAGATTTAGGCCATTTAAAGCACTGGGTCTTGTCTCAGTCTCCCCATCCCCGTCACCTCTTTTCCTGGCAGAACAAAGGGCGGCAGCCTCCTAAATGTGGCGCATTAGCCCTTTAGTTCCAGAGGGGGTAAGGTGACACCCTCCATGTATGTGGTCTGTTCAGCACACATCTGTCAGGGCCTAAGGGGGTGGGCCGGAGCGGTGGGAGGGACAGCGGGCACTGGAAGCACAACGAAGAGCTCGAGAGAAAGGCTGTGTGTGTATATGTGTTTCTTGAGGACCCCTGCTGCGACAGAGAAGCCTAATACCCTGTATTTACTGCGGAAGAATTAGTCCCATCGCATGATGCTGCTGAGCTTGGCTGCCCCCCCCCCCCTTGCCTCTTTATGCCAGTCATCAGAGAGAAGACATAAACAGACACAAACAAGAGAGACGTACTCCTACAGACATGATAAGAAACTAGCATGCGCCATAACATTGGGTGCTGATGATATACATGATGTAGGTATAGTAACAACACCGCTGTTCATTTCTGACTGGGGCACCATTTGACGTTTCGCTCAAATTGCTAAAAGTAAGTGATTCAAAGTGTTTTTTTAATCATGGTTTCATTAAAAAATTTATCAATCACACATTTAAGTGACATTTTACACTCTGAAAACACAAACATTTCAAGCAAAACTAAATTCAAAATTGATTTCGCTAAATATTAGTGGTTAATTGCAGCACTCATTGATACCGAGGGAACTGCAGTAGTGACTGTTTTAAACTTTAATTGTGTAGCTTCAGTTATAAACCAAATACTGGTTTGGTCTACGTTATTAAAATCGGGAAAGAGTCGGGCTGTCCTCGACTAACACCCATACGATTTTATTTATTCATCGATTAGTGTGAAAAAGCATAAAAAATGACAAATCGACGAAGAAATCTTAGTTGAGAAGAGAAAACATCTCCCTACCAACTCCAGCCAGGTGTCAAACTTAGACAAACCAATAGAGGAAGTTAATTCAAACCAGTGAGACCCTGCCAAGTTCAAGCCTCTGATGAGATCTTAAGGATTGTTTGTTTTGCTGCTGTCAAAGGTTCAAATAGGGAGAAGACGGAGGTTTTGATGACCCCTGGCCCTCGGGTCCTTAGTGGGTGTTCTGCAAACACTCCCTATTGACGTGTGGATGAGGAGAGGCCCGCTGCCGCCAACAGTGCTCATTTGAGTGGAAATGGACACCGCTCTGAAAAGAGCCCAGAACCCTGCAAGTGGCTGAAAAGAAAAGAGTATAATACATATGTAAGGGTGTGGTGGGTGGTTGCGTGGTGTGTGTGTGTGTGTGTGTGTGTGTGTGTGGAAGTATATATGAATGAAAATACTTTAATTTGAGACTGCTTTGGTTTGGAATGTAGGAAGACTACTTCACATTTATGATGCATGTAGAGAGCAGATACAGAGAATGCCACATAGTAGATCGCTGCTTCTTGCTGTGACATAACCTCTATACTTCATATACAGTCCAACTACACCACACTGTGCATGAGGGCTGCATGCAGGCTGTGATAAGTCATGAAATAATCTCTGTTAACTGACATTTTCTAATGGACATCTTTGAAAGATAAATATTTCAGAATGAGTGATCATGAACAATATTTTTTATTTAAAAGGCTTATGTATGAAGTTAATGCACATGATGACAATAATAGGCTCTGTGTTATTAACCTAAAAGTGATAAGAAGCGTAAAGTTACAAATAATGGTTTTGTAAAAATGATATTATTGATGAAATTAGCATGTGAATTTGTCTTGAAAATATGGGGTGTAATGTGATGTGTGTGTGTGTGTGTGTGTGTGTGTGTGTGTGTGTGT